CGCTCCCGTGTGTTTCGTTGGACCGGGGAGGAGAAGCAGCTGCAGGGAAAACACTCCAGCACCGACTGACACGGACAGCTCCCTGCGCGGGGCTGCGCATGCGCGAAGGGGGGCGGGGATTGTAGCTTGAGTTGATTGATCGAGTTAATTTAACGGCTCTGAAACACCACAGATCTCAAGATTGCAATGTTATGTATTCATTCATTAATGTATCTGTTTGTTTATTTAGCATTTTGTCTAATCTGTTTTATAATCATTGTTATATATTGGGTGTTTTTAATTATTTTTATTTTTATTTCTAGTGTTTTAATTGAGTTGTTTTATTATTCAGGAATATATTTGTTATCTTTATTTTATTATTGCCTTCTGAAATGTTTTAGGTCAACCTGAACCAATCCATGTTTTGAGATGTGCAATACCACTAGAGATTATAATTAATGGCATTATTATTTAAGTCTGCATAAAAATAGTTAAAAACACATATTGTTGTCTTAAATAAGGAAATAAAAATATCTAGCTCATGAGGTCAGGATCAAAGTCGAAAGGAGAAGAACAATGGTGATTGTTATTATGGGCATGGATAACAAGTCCTAAAGAAAATGATAGCCCAAAGCTTGTTCACATTCTGATTTAGTGTTGAGTTCATCATTTTGCCATCGTAGGGCCTATACATTGTTAAGCTATTTTGAAAAAGAAAGTACCTTACTTTCTGTTGGTAAAGTCTGAAGGCTGGTGCAGTCTGAAGGCAATGATTGTCAACAGGGATAATGGTCCTGATGATAATGATGATCACTTATTGTGACTGTCTGATGCTCTGCATTTGTTCTGCCTGTCAGTCAGAGACAAACGATCATAGTGACAACAAGTAGCACATCATGCATAATAGACATAAAACAAGCAACCATTAAACTCTGTGAATATACAAATGAATGTTAAGATGCAATAAAAGAGAGTATAGCTGCTTACAATGGATGGAGATTGGTTTGATCCTTTGTGTTTTGTGTCATTATAGCATTTTGTGTTATGGTTAGTAATTGACCAGACAGCAGCATTAATCCCACCCACTGGGACATATCTTACATGTATTTGCCCCGTTAGCATCCCTTTAAAGATGGATATATGTTGACGTACTTACGAAACTACATGTATTGCCTGATTTAACCTTTAACCACAATCTAAGGCCCTTTAACAAGTGAGAGTTAAAGGGGACCTATCATGCAAAATGCACTTTTGTACGTCTTTTATACATGAATATGTGTCCCCGGTGTTCCAGGGAACTCACCAAGTGTCAGAAAACACAACCCTCTCTATTTTCCTCCATACCCAAATCTCTAAAAAAAGGGCTGCAACGGATCTGATAAAAACTGATCCAGATGTGAACACTGTCCTGACGTCAGGACGGTGGCGCTACGGCTATTGGGCCAACTCCACCAATCAGGAGGAGACAACCACGGCATTGCCGTTCGAAAGCGCTGGAGACGCTGTAGTACATATGCCAGGCCTGTAGGTGGTGCTGTTCTCACTGAATCTGCCCTTGCAGAGCAGAGCTAAAAAAAAAGTGCAAATTGAGCGAAATGAGGCATGGCTAAAATGCATGATCTGTTTGGTATTTTGAAAAAAAAAAAGTATAAATATGCCTTATATAGGTATGGTCCTACACTATATTATTCAAATATAACATGATAGGTCCACTTTAAGTTTCCTCTTGTTCCAGTCATTTTTGAGGACATGTAATCATCAACATTTAAAGGCAGGGCTTACGTCACTGTGAGACAGCTCAGCGTGATAGCAAGAGATAAAAGGTGGAGTAAAAGTGTCACGTTGACATCTAGTGCAGAAGTTGTATGGCTTTGAAAGTGTAGCCATCATTGTAAGAAGCTCCTGAAGAAAATCCAAACTGTCAAAGAGCACTATCCCTCTAAAATTACTGTCAAAAGTTATTTTCAGTTTTTTTTTTTACTGAATTAAATAGAAATTGTGTCTACATGTTCTGTACTTTGGTTCCATTTCAGTTAAATTGCAGTTTTTTAATATCTCACAGCTTAAAAGTAAAGCTCGGAAATATACGAGTAAAAAGTGTAATATTTGCCTCTGAATTAATGCATTATCTTTGACTAGAAGTAAAAAGTGAACAGAAAATGGAAATAATCAAGTTCAACATTTGCCTACATATTACAACATTTGACTTACTGCACTGTTGAAAAAGTAATAATAAGTGATGTTTTTAAGATAACATAATGGTGGGGCTAGCCTACTATGCACATATGTAAAACCATAAATAACACAAAAAAGCACTAAGCCTATGTCACATTGCTCACACAAAGTTAAACACAGGCACATATTAAATGATAAAGTGTCTAGTTTTGGGATTTAAAAAAACATAAATGCAAATTGTGCACATACCTGTTCTCCTTCCTGTTCAAGTCCAGTTTTGAATAGCTGTCAGTTTGGTTAGCCTGCCATGTTTGCTCAACTTTCCACTTTGTCCTGTTGCTTAAATGTTGTAATCATATGGCTTCATTTGCACTGGGGACGCTGGGGACATGTCCAGGGAAACACTGGTTTAGTGTCAAGATGTGCAATTTGGACATTTTAGTAAACTTGAATAGAAAATCTAAAACAAACATTGCTCCCGCAGGTAGTGCACTTTCATTTACTGCAGAGCCTCTGAAATGCCATCGGGAGGACCGGGCCTGTTAAGTGGCCTGCTGGCCTGTCGATCTTTTTTTGTATGTATTGTTAACGCAACGCTGCGCAAATGTGGGTCTGCCTCACACAGGGTGACTGTCTACTACATGATGTGGCCTGCCGACATGGCCACTTCCATACCGATCATAAATTAAAGCCCTCGATTGGTCTCTGTGTCATTCAAGCTTGGGAGGGTGTGTGTTGTATGTGTGGCGCGAGAGAGAGAGGGCGCGCACCGGTTACTTGTATTTTTGTTGTTAGCATCTGGTTAGCTAGCTGCTCTAACAGATATAAGGAGCTGTTTCAACAACAAGGTGGAGGGAGAGTCCTCTGCTGTCAGACTGAGAGAGATAACTACAGCTCAGGTGAGGTTAAGGACTCTCTGAGTGTTTAGATAGTTAACTTAGTCTACTCTAAGTTATCTCAGTGGGTCTCAAACGGTTTGGTCACCATTTATGTAAACGCATATTTCCATTTGAGGGGGGACCGGGGAGTGATTAGTCAAATATGCATGAATATGGTCTGGCTGGGTGTATAATTTCCGGCCTGACTTATTGTCCCAGTCCGGCCCTGCACATGCTCATTATTACACTGAATAAACGGGCAGTGTGTTAAGTAGACATTTCTGGAAAAAGACATCCAGTAACACGCCTCAAAACAGAGATTTAAACGACAGTAAACAGGAAACGTTTGGACACTGTCCCAGGTCAGCTGACTGGATCCGACCAATAGGAAAAGGTTCAATCTAGAGACGATATTAAGACGTAAGAAATGTTGTCAGTGTGTCATTTTTATTTTTAATAAATACGTCCACCAACACAAATCCAACACAACTCCTCTTTTCTAATTTTCCAATAATCAAATCAAATCAAATCAAATCAGGTTTTATTTATATAGCACATTTAAAAGCGATTTTTGGTCGAGCCAAAGTGCTGTACATGTAATAAAAACACATTACTACAATCACAATAAACGACAATAAGTTACAACAGATATATATAAAAAACAAAATTAAAATAAAAACACAAGGAAAAGTCAGGAGTCGTGCTCCGCTCTAACTAGAAAGCCAGAGAGAAGAAGTGTGTTTTTAGTTTTGATTTAAAAACCCCTAGGGTCTGGGCCGACCTCACATGGAGGGGCAGAGTGTTCCAGAGCCTGGGGCCAGCTGCTGCGAAGGCTCGGTGCCCTCGGGTTTTAAGCCTGGTCTTGGGCACTACCAGCAGCAGCTGGTCAGCAGACCTTAAAGCTCTGGCTGGGGTGTAGCGCTGGAGGAGTTCAGCTATATAGGCCGGAGCCAGCCCATTTAGTGCTTTAAAAACAAATAAAAGGATTTTAAAATCAATTCTGAACCGAACTGGAAGCCAGTGCAGTGAGGCCAGAATAGGGGTGATGTGGTCACGCTTTTTGTGGCCAGTCAGCAAACGTGCAGCAGCGTTTTGGACTAGCTGCAGGCGTTTAATTGAGGCCTGGTCCATACCCACATACAGAGCGTTGCAATAGTCCAGTCTCGAGGTTACAAAGGCGTTAATAACCCTTTCTAAGTCATTCAAAGATAAATACGACTTGGTTTTGGCCAATAGTCTTATTTTAAAAAAGCAGGATTTTACTACAGTGCTGATCTGCTTGTCGAATTTAAAAGTGCTGGTGAAGGTCACTCCAAGGTTCATGACCGAGGGGAGGATGTTTTTTTTGAGAGACCCCAGAATATCAACCGGAGAGGCTGGAGGTTGCGGTCCAAAAAAGATGACCTCAGTCTTGCTCTCGTTGAGGTTGAGAAAGTTTTTGCTCAGCCAGGATTTTATCTCTGCTAAGCAGTCCATCAGCTGCTGTAGTGAGTTTTTTGACATTTGCTTTTAAAGGCAGATAGATCTGTACATCGTCGGCGTAGCAGTGGAAGGGAATGTTATGTTTTGTGAGAATTGAACCTAGGGGCAGTATGTACAGTAGAAAAAGGATGGGGCCCAGAATCGAGCCTTGGGGAACCCCACAGGTAAGAGGGGCTTTGGCAGAGGAGAAGGCACCTAGCTGCACTGAAAAGCTACGGTCTGTCAGGTAGGACCTGAACCATGCAAGGGCAGAGCCTGTGATGCCAGCGGACTGTTCAAGCCGTGACAACAGGATGCTATGGTCCACAGTGTCAAAGGCAGCTGTCAGGTCTAACAGCACCAAGACAGCTGGGCTACCTGAGTCGGCGGCTAGGAGCAGATCATTAAAAACTCTTTAAAGGGCTGTTTCAGTGCTGTGCATGGGTTTGAAGCCAGACTGGAACTTTTCATGGATTCCATGGATGGTTAAAAAAGACTGCAGCTGGG